TGAAGTCGGACGCTTAACCGACTGAGCCACCCAGGCACCCCCACGATGTCATCCTTTTAAGTGAAACTAATATTTAATGAGCCCCTACTGAACACCAATCATCATGCTCCATCCCCAGGACCGCAGATACAGACCGCCCCTACAGTTTAAATGACCTTCTATGGGGCACCTGGGTGGCTCTGTTAGTTAAGCATCAAATTCTTGATTTCAGCTCAGGTCATGATCTCTCGGTTTGTGAGTTAGAGCCCCACATCTGGCTCTGTGCAAACAGTGAGGAGCTTGTTTGGGATTCTCTCTCTCTGCCCCTTCCCTGCTCGCTCTCGCTCTCTTTCAAAATAAAGAAAGAAACTTGAAACATTTTTTTTGAAAATAATAATAAAAAAATAAGTGGTCTCCTATGATTAAGGACAAAGACAAGTGTTGGAGAGTTCTCAGAGGGATCACTGAGGGTTTAAAACCCACGTGCTAAATGTCAAGTCTCCTAATATTTGGTGGGGTCCCCTCTCCCCTGTTATCCCCCAGAACCTTGCTAGGGGTGGTTAAGGGTGTTCCCACCTCTGATTCAGATCTTGGAGTCTGCCTCTTCCAGAAAGCACTCTCAAGCTGTTTGCTAAATTTAGGACTTCAGGTTCAGAAGAGGAATGGAAGGCTGAAGGCGTAAATCGTTTTTAAATCCCCATGCTCCCACACATTTCCACAAGTGCCAAAAGCAGGGCAAGAGAACCTCGAAAAAGCCCCTCCACACAATCAGAAGTTCTTGAATTCTGGTTTCTCGTGACTGTGTTTTCTTAACTTCCTTTTTCCTAATATCAAAAATCACTTGCTCCGTGACCAAATCCTAACAAGGCCTCCCAGCATCTCCCCACCCCCACCCTGCCCCAAAGAGGGCTCTGAGGTGCAAGAAGTCAGCAGACGCCACCCGGAGGCGGAGGGAAGGCGCGCAGGACCCACAGACGCAGCGCGCGTGCCTGGCAGTGTTTCTGCTCTGATCGCAACAAGATTCTGATGCTTTGAGCTCCTATTTGGAGGAAAAGAGAAATGTCTGTCCTCAATCATGAAGAGAGAATTAGCAGGCCCTTTAAAATGTCAAGCTAGAAAGGAAGCAAATTAATTTAATTCCGTCAAGAGGGGCTATTTATTGCCATGGTGACCTACAAGCTGTCACCTTCCAGAAGCCCCATGTTTCTCCCATCAGTTGCCTGATATCTTCTCAGGTGTTAGCATGGCTGTGTTACTAATCCCCATCATTTGAGATGCTTAAAGTTCTCACATGACATCAAGAAGCTGAAGGATGCAAAAAGAAGATGGTCTGAGAAGCCATACCCCTCCCATCGCTGCTATTATCATTTTGAGAAGAGTCACGTACTTCACGGCGTAAGAAAGACTAACGCATTCACTTGCACTGTTCACAACTGGAAAAGGACGGCGGGGAGTGCTGCATGGATGCTCCCCTGCCCCCACACGTGCGTGAGCAATGGACCGTCACCACACGTGTTCTCCCCAGGCCTCCTGTAATTCTTGTAGCACTTCTGCTTCCAAGTATACGCCCACTCCCTTCTCACTTGGGTTCAACTTCTCCGGAATCCCACTTCCTTTCATCTGGACAGACCTTTCTACTGCAACTCTGCAGGGAGCTCTCTGCCTACATGTGGGCACAAACAGCCCCTGTTCAGCAACGGTCAGTCCTGGTTCTGAGTATCTGCTCCAGCTCTCCAGCCTACTCAGGAAGCTGACCACAGCATCCTTAGGAACTGGAAGAAAACTGGGGATACTTCTGGGTGACTCGATCTCTCCATTTGCCCACTGCCTCCCTCCAGCAGATGCACACAACTTTCCACCCACAAAACAAGCTCTATTACCTGGCACAGAGCTGACACCACAGCCTCACCTGTCGACCCCACCCTCTAGAACTAGCCCTGGACTCTACTTTGACTCAAGGTTTCTATTTTCAGGTCTTTCTTGAAAGCCTTATTCTCTTGTGTGTCTGTGCATCTAGATTTTCTGCTCTCATTTTTCAGCTTAGTTCCAACACTAGTTTTGACTGTTGTGGGGCCTCAAAAGGTCAAGTGGGGATGGTTCAAGTAGGGGCAACACTGGCTACCCAATCCCAACACAGCTCAAACATTTCACAGATGACAAATTCTATGTAACGTATTACTTAGAGATTAAGAGAGGCAAGAATACAGGATGGAAAAGCAATCAAGAGTCAGCCTTCAGTGCTAGGGTCTTGAATCAAGAGGGCCTTAGTCACCAAGTCTTTGTTAAGTGCTCACAGAAAATTAACTACACAGATGAACTGTATTGTACTATATTATTCAATCAATCAATAACGTAACTAAAGGAAAACTAAGTACAGAGCATTTGGCCATAGAGGGACTACAGAAAAAGTCCAAGACTCAGAGCCTAGCCTTGAGGAGGTTATACTCTGTTGGTGCAACACGTGCAAAATAACCAGAGCAAAAAATTAGAGTATATGATTTGTTACAGAAACAAGTTTTAAAACAAGCTCATTACTTCTCCTTCCTGACTTCCCTATTTCTATAAATGGTGCCATCATGGGGTGTCTGGGTGGCTCAGTTGGTTGAACATCCGACTCGGTTTCTGCTCGGGTCATGATCACACGGTTCATGAGTTCGAGCCCCACACTGGGCTCACTGCTGTCAGCACGGAGTTCACTTTGGATCCTCTGTCCCCCTCTCACGCTGTCTCTCTCAAAAATAAATAAAACATTAAAAAAATTAAAGAAAAATGGTGCCAACATTCAAAAACTCCTTTTGCCCCCACATCCAGGCATCCGGATTTGAACCCCCATTGCTGACCCCTTCCCTCTTACCCATTTCCATCAACCTAGGGTCCCTTCCTTCTCAAGGTCTATTTATTTATCCAGCAAGCACAAGCACGGAACGGGCAGACAGAATCCCAAGCAGGCTCTATGCTGTCACCACAGAGCCCGACATGGGGTTTGATTTCACAGTGAGCCAAAATCAAAAGTCAGACGCTTAACCGACTAAGCCACCCAGGTGTCCCCCCTTAAAATCTTTTTAAATCTCTCCTTCCTTTCTTACCTCTGCCCCTACCCCAACCCCTTCTTCACCTGCTTCTTGAATTTCTCCTGGCCATCCTATATAAAACCCCTACACTAACCCTTGTAAAACACTGATTTCACGAGAGATGGTAAGAACGGGGACCTGATAACTGTCGAAATTTAAGCTTTTTGAGCTGGAATTCCAGCTTTTCCAGAATTTGGTTCTAACTTCCCAGATTTCTCTCCCACCACACTCCTACTGGAACTACCTGCCTGAACCAGCCAAAAACCTGTTCCTATATGGTTTCTCTATTTACATCACCGTCCAGTGTTTTCTTAGCCAGTTTTCCCCAGTCTTTAAGGCCTGGATCAAATGCTACCTCCTCACTGACAGAATCATGTTTCCATTCCACTTCTCCCCAATTTCCTGAAGAAACTGCCTGCATTTTAGCATTTACAGTTCTTGCCTTGTACCTGTATCTTTTTAATAATGCTTTATCCACTCCAGGATCACCTTTACCGAACTTAAGGCAAAGACAGATAGAACTTAATTAATTTTCATAATACCTCACATAACAGGTATTTCTTAAAAATCTTTTTATGTTTACTTATTTTTGAGACAGAAACAGAGCATGAGCAGACGAGGGGCAGCGGGAGAGGGAGACACAGAACCCGAAGCAGGCTTCAGGCTCTGAGCTGTCAACACAGAGCCTGACGGGGGGCCTGAACCCACCAACTGTGAGATCATGACCTGAGCTGAAGTCGGATGCTTAACCGACTGAGCCACCCGGGCGCCCCACATAACAGGTATTTCTTATGGACTGATTATAGTAATGACAGGAATTCAGAAAAGGCTGAAGTCATCAAGAGACAGTCCGTGGACAAGGAGAATCTGGGATGGATTTTAAAGCATTCAGTTAAGCAAAGGAGAACAGGGTTTCCAGGGAAGGAGAGCAATGTGTGCTGATGGGACAAGAACACATCTGACTTAGCAAAGCAAGAAGACGCTCAGGAAGCCACCAAGAGGCGGCAGGAGGCGTGCGGCAGTGGGACGACCTGATTCCACAGAAGTGCTCTTCTGGGAGCAGAATGCCAAGTGGACAGAAGGGACGTGGGGAGACACCTGAAGCACTGGGACCAGTAGAGGCTTCTATAATAAATCTGGCAATCCACAGAGTGACAAGGACCTAGACTAAAATAGTGCTAAACCCCAAGCACTGGTTCGTTCACCTGGCCAAGTTCACACCAATAAGTCACAAGAACTGTGAAGGTGAATGACGGATAAGAATGGAAGGAATCTGAACTGCCCCTAATGTCACTCTAATGGGAAAAATCAAAGGCCAGTATCAGCTCTAAAGTCTACAGACACCATTGTCCTTCCCCCACTCACAATCTCTACTCTCCCTCAAAAACAGGTCTGTCCCTCTCCTATTTCAAAATATAACTCTAAATCTAGTCTATTAAACTCAGCTTAAGTCAAATTACTTCAACGTCCCTATTCATATTCGTGAATCAAACAAATTTCAGGGACCCATGGGTGGCTCTGTCAGTTGGGCATCTGACTCTTGATTTCAGCTCGGGTCATGTTATCACGGTTCGTGGGATTGAGCCCTGGGATGGGCTCTGCACTGACAGCACAGAGCCTGCTTGGGATTCATTCTCTCTCTCTCTCTCTCTCTCTCTCTCTCTCTCTCTCTCTCTCTCAAAATAAATAAACTTAAAAAACAACAACAACATCCAATTCCAGTGTAGTTATATCTATATCTGGTTAGATGTCTCTGGACATTGATTAGAGTCAGGGTGTCCTCTTTTTGTGAAATGGTGCCATTAGTACCTGCTTCACTAGGATACTTGATAAATGAATTAAATGAGTGTCTTTGGAGTGCTTTGAGCTCCTTAGAGAACAGTTCCATATATACAGAAGATTGTGACCTGCCTGCAACTGCAGATTTTGCAAATGTAACCTGGGTTCAACAACCTGAAGGGGGGTTCTTATTAAGAAAGCTCAGGCCATTGGAGGAAACAGCCTGGAGGCTCTAGTACATAAGAGGTCTCTGCGCAAGGCAATTCCTAGGCATCCTACCTGTCACCATCCTGCCCAATCTGTGTTCACTTAAAGAGGCCTCCAAGGGCCTCTTCTAGCCCATAGGAAAGTTAACTTATTAACCCTTCAGCAGAGTACTACCTGCTAACAAGGTTAACCTGTATTTCCTTAACAGAAATATGATTTAGCAATTAGAGCAAAGGCCGCTCTAACTACAGCACTAGGCTGTGTTCCTCAGCTTTGCTCAGAGTACGCTATCGACGATGACTCGTTAAGGTGTTCAAGTGTGTGTGTCTCCCAACACAGACATAACCAAGCTTTGGCCGCTGCAGGAAAATAGAGCTCTGTTCCTTACCCTACTTTGGATTATTCTCACTTCAAACATTCTGCCTCAGCGAAGCGGCCACTTCTCAAATACATGGTCGCAATTCTGAAGCAGTATGTGTATACTCACTGGTGCCCACCGCTCCCGAAGTTTCAGCCCCAATCCGCGGCTTTTCCCTCGGTCTGAGACTGAGGCACGGGGGTCTGAGAAGCGGGGCCCCACCACAATGTCCCCAAATCGCCGATGCATGTCAGCCGGGAGCACTTAGCTGACGCTTCTCCGCAGCCCGCGGGGCCGGGACAGTACGCAGCTCCCGCCGCCGCGCGCAGCAGTGGGAGGAGGCGCCGGGAGGGGGACCGGGCGCCCTGCTGGGGAAGGGGCGTGATCGCTGACAGCTTGCGGCGAGGGCAAGCCGAAGCGCGAGCTGCTAGGAGACGCCGCCACTGGACCCTGGGAGGAGGTGTAGGGGGGGCAGCGGGGGCGGCGAGGGGGCTCGAGGACAGACAGAAGCGGCCGCGGCTACTCACTCAGCCAGGACTCCAGGCTCTCCCCTTCCGCCTCCGCCATATTGCAGCCGCCCGGGCCGGCCCTGCGGCCTCAAACCTCGCGAGAACTTGCAAGAGATGAGCCGGGGCGGGGCGTGCATGGGGCCTGAGAGGAGAGAGCCCCGCCGCCGACGGTCGAATCAGACTGCGACGGATGAGAAGCCGAAAGTTTCCTTTCGATTCTTCCCTTTGGACCTCGGAGTGAGAGACTCTTAACGTCCGGACTAATAGGGTGACGCACAGATTTAGGACCCTGTGGAGCTTTTTCCCCGCCTGCCGTCCCTCGCTCAGGCACGCCGAGGACGGCCCTGTTGGGGTCCTTGTGGCCAGCCAAGATGGCTGCGCCCGCGGTGAAGGCTGCGCGAGGGTGGCCGGTTCTGGCGCTGGGCGTACGGAATCGTCTCCTGCGGTTTCCAGGGTAGGAGGGCGGCGGGAAGCCGGGGGGCCGCTTGGGTCTTCACGGAGAGACCTGCAGGGAAGGAAAGGACCACAAGCGGACCGTGCGGGGACCTGGACAGAGCCTGCGGGCCAGGACACCTGGGTCCAAGACTCTGAATTAGCTGCGTGACTTTGGGCCAGTGTGAAGGTTTCGTGATTGTTCCCGGCGATGAGGTTCTGATTGGAAGCTGAAAGCGCGGTCTTAAGAAAGAGCTCAGCGCTGGGATTTTCTGTGTTGGGAGAGGTGGGGGGAGAGCTGCCTAGGCGGGGCGCCTATCCTGTGATTTCAGGAGGCTCTCCTTACCGTTGGCACTTGACGAGGGGGAGACTTTCCTGGCCTTTTTGGGGGGAGTTTACTTACCTCTTGGGACAAGAGCCAGAATTACTGCGTTCAGGTTTGCCTAACGCTCTCCCTGCCTCTCTCTCCTCGACGGGTTGGCAAACATGCCTATTAAGTAAGGCCTTTTCTCTTGTGGGGTCAACTTTTGCCCGCCTCTTCCTCTTCCCCCCTCTTAGGCTAACCCAGGTGAGGGGGAGCCGCTATGGTCCTGAATACAAGGATCCACAGGTTGACAAAGAATATTACCGTAAGCCATTGGCAGAGCTGACGGAGGAGGAGAAGTATGAGCGGGAACTCAGGAAGACTCAGCATATCAAAGCTGCCCCAGCGTCGAAAACAAGCTCTGTGTTTGAAGACCCAGTGATCAGGTCAGATGGAAGCAAATACTTCTGTTCCACAGACTGGGACTATACCAGGGAGGGTCTGCAGTTAGGATTCTGTGGAATCCTAGGCCTTGGAAACCTAAACGTGTTGCTTTTCTTCTTGAAGTAAATTCACCAACATGATAATGAAAGGAGGAAACAAAGTCCTGGCCAGATCCCTCATGGCGCAGGTAAGCAGCTCGTCTCCCGTCTGCTTTCTTACAGCTTTGTATGTGGCTTTCACTTTAGCATAAAAAAAGCACAAATTCACATACCTGCCATTAGAATGACCTTCCTATGTATGGGTGGAGGTGGTGACTTTAATACATCCTGCAGGAGTCGGCCACCACCATTCACTCCCCCAATCACAAATCTTGGCCTGTTTGCCTGGTCCTCGCTCAGAAAGAGGGAGGCACTTAGGAACTTTGCCTTAGAAGTTCTGAGAGAGGAGCTGCACTGTTGTAGGATAGCAGGATGGGAGGAGTAAAGGGCAAGGTACTAGCTCAACTGGGAAAACCCTGTAGGGAGGCTGGTGCGGTGTCTTTCAATGTATGCCTTTGCAGACTCTGGAAGCTGTGAAAAGGAAGCAGTTTGAGAAGTACCATGCTGCCTCTGCAGAGGAACGGGCATCCATCGAACGCAACCCCTATACCATCTTCCACCAAGCACTGAAAAACTGTGAGCCTGTGATTGGGCTGGTACCCATCCTCAGAGGCGGCCATTTCTACCAAGTGAGTGGTCGGGGCCGGAACGCAGGGCTGCCCACCCATGAAACAAGATGGTTGGGGGGGTGCTTGCGAGGGGGAGGGTCCAGAGCAAGGCCAAGATTGATAGTTTTATAGGGACTAGGTTCTGTCAGAATCTGCTCGTCGGAGTCCTAGTGTAAAACTCACAGGCCGAAGATGGGAGGGGAAGAGAGCAAAGAATCATCCGAATTACTTTTTCTGGAAGCCCACCCCACCCCCATTCTGTCCACTATGCCCTGTTCTAAATTGTAAGCTTCTTGCAGTGAGGGACTGTGTTTATAACTCCTCTTCATCTCCCGGTGCCTTGAGTAGCGCTTGACCCGTAACTGATGCTTCATCACCATTTCCTGAACTGAATGAGGGGTCTGTTACTGCACTTAATTATACATCATTGTTATAAGCCAGTGTTCTCATCTTTTTTTTTTTTTTAATTTGTTTTATTTTTGAAAGACAGAGAGCATGAGTGGGGGAGGGGCAGAGAGAAGGAGACACAGAATCTGAAGCAGGCTCCAGGCTCTGAGCTGTCAGCACAGAGCCCGATGCAGGGCTTGAATCCACAAACCATGAGATCATGACCTGAACCGAAGTCGGACGCTTAACCGACTGAGCCACCCAGGCACCCATCATCTGCTTTTTTAACATAAACTTCACAAGGGAAGAGACTCTCGTTAATGACTGTGTCCCTGGGGTCTTTTGTGGTACCTGGTATCTAGTGGTGGTCTAGCAGATAATTTTTGGACAAGAGGATTGTGTTTATAGGCACCTGTGATCTGAGTTAGCTGAGTCACCCCAGCTCGATGGGGCTTTTCCCAGTTGATGTTTGTATCAACTTGGCTAAGGTTCCATTTAGAGGTGAAAGAGGTCTGTGCCTAATGAGCGTTTGCTCAATGAACGCCTTTGTGTCTGCTACACTGAGGTCACTCGGGTGTGGGTAACTCACAAGAGGAGGAGCGAGGCCCTTCTTCTCAGGAGCGTTGCCAGGGCTGGGTCAGAGGGAACCTGTGGCTACCCCTTACAGCTTAGGGAGGAAGGAGGCTGCAGGCCTGGCAAGTTCTTGGACTAACTTGCCCACGTCTTGTCTCCTTCAGGTCCCCGTGCCACTAGCCGACCGGCGCCGTCGCTTCCTGGCCATGAAGTGGATGATTACTGAGTGCCGGGAGAAGAAGCACCGGCGGGTGCTGATGCCGGAGAAGTTGTCCCATGAGCTGCTGGAGGCTTTTCACAACCAGGGCCCTGTGATCAAGAAGAAGCATGACATGCACAAGATGGCCGAGGCCAACCGTGCGCTGGCTCACTACCGCTGGTGGTAGAGGGAGGGTAGGGGCCCTGGGAGGAGCCCGGGGCTCTTTGCTGCAAAAGTAATGAAACACTTAAGGGTTAAGGATGTCGTTCCTTTTTCAGGGCAGGCAGGCCTCCTAAGGATGGAGCAACACATGTATTGCTTGTTAGTCCTTTCTTTCGGGCCTAGAACTTGCTCTTCCTATCCCATCTCCTTACAATGAAGGAACATACCACTTTAGATTTCCTGCAGGAAACTTAGGGCCCATCCAGTCTCTCCCCTCAATTCGGGGGTAGAACTTAGGATGATACGAAAGGAAGCAGTTTTAATGTTAGAAAAGCTTTATTAGAAA